CAAGAACACAACGTTGTTCCAGGAAGACGGAGCACCATGTCACACTGCTAGAAACACCCAAAAGTGGCAGGATGAAAATGGTATCCAGTAGTTGCCCTGGCCCAGCCAATCTCCTGACATGAACCCCATCGAAAACCTCTGGGCCATACTCGACCGGCAAGTCAAGAAACAACCAAAAAACCAACTTTGAAGAGCGATCTACTCCAAGTTTTGAAGCAAGAGTGGGTGAAAATCCCACAATCTAAAATTGACGAGATGATTCTCACGATGCTCCAAAGGATCAACGAACTCCACGAAGCAAAAGGAAGTTCTACTAGATATTAATTAAATTATTAATATATCAATTAATGTGAATATGACTGAAATTTTTCATTTTTTCTGAAAAGGTGGTGTCTATTTACTTGTGACCACGCTGTGTATTTAAATAAATCTTCACTTTTACTTTTCAGCCAACCATTTCAATTTCTTATTTGACTAACTCCGTTATTCTTCTACAGTCCTCTAAGGCTCCAATTATAGTAATCGATTTAAACTTCATAAATTGATAATGCTTTTTTAACACCGCCACATGGCCCAACCCAGCATCTTGATGTGGATCCAAAAATATGGGTAATTCTAGAAAGGTTTGGGTTGTTTTGATTAGACAAAAAGACGTTTAGCACTATTTTCGAGGTCTAGGTCACTGGACCAAACCCATGACCTGACCTGAGACCATAAGAGCCAACATGGAGAAATTAACTTATGAAGTAAAACGATGTACCACTAAAACATGCTTGAAATGTTCTAGATATGGTTGTGAATGTGATGGTTTAAGTGTAATGATTAAGCTAAATTGTTAGATCAGGTCGGATGAGGGAAGAATTTATTCGAAGATATCCCAATCGATGTGACAAACCAGCTGAAACGGAGATTATTGCATTGACAGTGAAACACTAATTTAAAAAAAAAAAGAGGCACAATATTATCATTACATTATCAACATTTTGTGAAACTAATGGCACAGCAAAGCCCAAAGATGCAGTGTTGAAGTTGAAGCAGATGCATTACAAGATGATTTCTTTAGCAATTCTCACACTAAAAATGCTATTTTTGCAAGGAAGAGTAAATATAAGAAGGATGGTACAATACCAAGTTAACAAACTACCATAGTATAATTCATATATATTTCATCATATTATGTTTTCATTAATATTTAGTTTAATTTTTCGTTTCAGAAGTTGTGCAGAGTTTCATTCATGGAGATATATCGAAATAACCCTAAATCACTAATTTTCAGAATGACTCCCCTGTCGATCATTCTGGGGTCAGTACTAAAAGACGCTGGGCTGGCTTGTGTGGCAGGTGTTAAAAATTGTATTCCTTGTACTCTTTGTAACCTGACCCAAATTTTTATTTGCAGCCACCCTGTTTTTCTGTAAGGTTTGTTTTTTTGTTCAGTTAAGGACAAAGCTACTCAATGAGGTATCTGTTTTGTGCCGACCACAAATATCAAATTCCGATTTTTAGCGTTATAAGCCTTCAGACTTGCCGCTGAGCCACTGGGGAGTATTAGTTTGTTTTAGAGCACCATGGGGAATTGAGCTACGGAATTTAGTTTTGTAAGTCAACATATTTACTGCTGGCCTATTCTATAAAGAACATGTCTATCTTGAATATTTAACTTTATTTTGAAATATTTGATCAGTATCTCCAATTAACAATTTACAACAGATAATTGTCATATTCCTTCAAAATTTGCTTTTGTGAAATTTGTAATCACAATATCATTATCCCTAATTTCTATATGTAGTAAAATATCCAACCTAGGTGAGAAATGATCATCTGCACTCAGAAGTTCCCAAAACTTTACCCTCTCAACCATTTCTGTATTCGATGTTGATGATAGATATAAAATGGTATTGATATTAGTAAATTCTTTGACCAATTGGTGAAAAAATATTATCCTGAACAGTTTATAAAACTTGTTTCGCTCAAAGTTTGACTAAAATGTCTTAGTCCATATACTTGAAATTAATATCCACCATAATTATGACCTCATTAATGAACAGCTAAAATCTTGATCTCATTGTAGTTTTTCATTAATTTTATAAGTTTCATTTGAATTTCAACTAAAAGCCTCCTCCCCTATATCTACTAACAGAAACCCAAATAAATTCAATTTCCTTGTTATCATTTTTGATTTTCTCAACTTCAAGGTGATACAACTCACATTTTACATATCAAGCCACTCTTCCCCTTTCTTAGCACTCAATCTATACTCATTAAATGATATATAGCTAAGAATTTTAAAATACATTTGTGTTTTTAAAGTTGTCTACAGTTAATAAAGTTTTAGTTATTCCCATTATATTGAAATCCTCTATTCTGACTGGTGCTCGAAAGTCACTTATTTATATTTCTTAAACTTCTAGTATTTTGTTTCTTCCTATACTACATCTTAATTTTCCTGGCTCTCACCACTGTCTAGTCCTTAAGTGATTGAACAAATCACAAACTGTACTAATTACTGTTCTGGCAGTTAATCCCAGCCATAAGAATAAAGAGGTCATTGATGGTATCCTGGCTGACCACTGCAACTTTTTTGCACCTCTTCAAGTGCTCCAGTTGACTTGTCGAACACAGCCATGTAAGTACTTTCATCTTCTTCCTTCTAATCATCAGCTGAGCTGCTTCACAAAAGTTTAATTTTTCTCCAATTAAAATCGCCTTAAACTACAATTCCTGGACAAGCCAGGGCACAAGAGGTTCACGAACCACCATAACATGCAGTTGCAGATATCCATGTGCTGGATTGTTTTGTAAATGTGTCATAAGCATGTATCACTTAGTTCCCTTGATAAACTTGTTGAAGATCTCTTCACAATCTGCTAATGCTACTACAGGGTATGCTTTCCTATGCAAGTGGCATAGATTATTTATCAAGGCACCCAAGTTTTCTGAGGAGCCCATCCTTCCAGACCCAGTCATCACACTGGAAGTACCCTTTTTGACTGTTTTATTGTAAAATCTCTGCTATATGACTACCTTTCCTAGTTTATGGCATCCAAACTCGTGTGCATCTGCAAGTACTGTTCTCAACCATTCACGTAGACTTTTCAACATTGTGGGAAAATGGAGTTAGGATGTCAGCCATATATCACATGAATGGGGAGGGACATTTCCCACCCGAACGTGATTTACACAGCCTAGACTTAGAAGTATCCACCAAGTCCTTGTATCTACCAGGTACTCCACTACCATTTCTGTAACTTAAGCAACAGCTTGCTGCTGGCCCTCCTGCACTTTCTGTGCAATTAATTGGTACAGAGGTAAGATATGGATATGGGCTGTCAACAAACTAGTAACTTTTAGGCATTCTGATTTCATGTCACATATCTAGCATCAAAGTAAAAGGTTACAAAAAATAACTGGTGAATCTACAAGGTAACTTAGAGGTTTAATCCACTAGGTCTACTTCAAAGTTTGAGACAGGAGAATCTACTACTTTTGCTTCAAGGTTACATATAAGTCATCATTTAATTCAACATTTCAAGGAGAACAGTTAACTATAAAGTTACACACATATGACAATCCACAGTTTGCCAGTTGAGCTTCCAAGTTACATATAATCTTGCAAGTAAACTTTAAGTAACAAAATATAAAAGACTTTTAACATGATAATTCCAATTTAAGGCTGATGGTGCAACTTAAACATAATAATCAAGGAAAAAGCAACAAGTTATAGAGTGTACAAGAGTTTCAGTAAAGGTATTAATTTCAAGTTGTACAAGTACAAAATAATTTAAATTTTAAAAAATCACAATCATCTGAATGCTTAGTGAGGCTTTCATCTATTTTATAACAAATATTCTTCAAACTAAACTCCTGATACAACTTGCTATTGTAAATATTAACTAGTATCAAACACAATCATTTTACCTCACAAAATGCTGATGTTATAATTTACATCATATTTTTTTAAGCTATTTATCTAAAGAATTTTCAGATCTCAAGTGATTATTGCTTTTCTAAGAAGCTTATAAAGTCTTAATTTTCTTCAGGAAGGCATTCAAATCACTTATGAGATTAGTTGTTACAAAGATCAGTTCTTTCTATGAAGCTTATAAGTAACTTACTATAGCCTTTTTTTAGGTTTTCATCTTTCATATTACCAATTATTAGTAGAAGGAATTTAACTCTGATGCATAAACCTAAAAAAAAAAAAAATGCTCATAGTTCATACTCTGTTATAGATAAGAAATGGTTATGGCAGATTGTAGCAGATAGGATGTCTGGTTTGTAAAGGGTTAACAGCTTGCCACTAGGTCAATGATAAATGTAACCTTCACTAGCTGCTACATAAAGAGGAGAATCTGTTAAAAAAAAAAGTTCATTAAGCTTTAGCCATAATAGTAACAGAAAAACAAAAAGCATTAGTTAAAGCCACAGGCACAAGGCTAAGAAAGGTATTGTTCACTTGATGTATTATGTGCTTTGTTCCGAAATGATTCCTTGCAGTTTTAAGCTTTATATATACACACACACACACATATATATATATATAGGGTTTGGGGGGGGGGTTGGAGTAGGTTTCTTATTTGTTTAATCTACTTCGTTAGTACTTGTGCCTGGTGGTACTTTAATTACTATTATTTATTGACAAAGTTATTTCT